CTATTTTATCCATCATTTTAATCATACATTGTTTCAAATTTTCTAAAATTATTTCTATTTCTAATATAACAATACTATCTTATGTACCTTTGCAGAATCCCTTTTTCAATTAAATTTTCACCCATTATCTCTAAATAGGCTTATACTTTCAATCCTTATACATTTTCCCTGTTTCTCTATATCTTGTTTCTGTCTTTTATAACTTCTTTTCCTTTCCTTCTTCCCCCTCTTCTTCTCCCTCCCCCTTTTTGCCCCCTTGTCTCTCTACTTCTAATTCTCTCTTCTGTCATCCTCTCTTCTGTTGCTTCCTAATATTATAATTATTTTTTAAACTATTCTTTTTTTTTGGTTGTTTTTTTTTCAAATCTTAAACTTTTCGCTCTCTTTCCCCCCTTTCCTTTTTTCCCCCACATAAAATTACTTGATCATCAAAGAAGGCTTTATCCCAACCTTCTTGCTCTACAAGCGTTTCTTATTGTTTCTTATAGTTCCAGATCTCCATTTCTAAAAATTGAAATACGAAGCCAAAAGAACCTCTTCCTTCTTGTGCATCTTCTTTCTGTTTTTTAAGTTCCATTTTCAGTTCTTCTAAAAGTGATGCCATTTTAAACACTTTTAAACAACCACCCGATTGATTTTAGTCATTTAAATCCAATAGCCAAAAATCCAAAAATCACCAAGTAATCCAAATAATCCAAAGGTGTTTTTTCTTGCTTCTTTTTTCCACTTTCTCTTCCTGGATTTCTATTATTTTGTTACAAAGTTTCAGTTAGAATGTATCTTTTAGGAATCTTTTTAAGGTTTCACTGTAAGTTCCTTTTAGTTCCAGGCATTCTCCTCCATTTTTTCAGTTCCTGCCCTTTTATTCTTTCCTTTTCTCTCCTTTCCTTGATCTTAAAGGTTTTTGAGTATCCAAAAGTCTTTATTATCCCTTTGACATTTTATTTTCAGCTTAAATGCCTATTGATGTCAAAGTGGATTTTTGTCAATTTCTTACTTAAATCTCTTAGCTGTCAGTATAAGGAAGGGAAGAAAAAAAAAGCCAAATCCTTTCCCTTCCCTCTCTCCTTCGCTGCTTCAAAGTCTTCTTTGGGAACAATGTTATTTTTTTATAGTTCAAATTCCAGGGTACCTTACGTTGTTGCTTTTTCAGTTTAACCCAGTCAACCAAAACTTTCTCTTCTTATCTTCCTCCTGCACATTCTTTTCCAGTTGAGTTCTTCTTTGAGGTGGCCATTTCTGACCACTGCTGCAACCACCTTTAGGGGAGGGAGTAATGGCCAGCTGAGGAGGAGAGATGTGGCTCTCCTCAACCCTGCTGGTGGTCTCCCCCCTCTTCACCACCTCTATGGGATGGCTTAGCCCTGAATCCAGCTGGCTTGGGGCACTCTGGCAGCGAGCATGGATCGAAACCACGCACGATCACGGATTTCGGTCCATTGCCGAAGAAGCTCAAACCGGAGGTCCTGAGGAGCCAACGTTGATTGATTGATTGATGGTTGGTTTGATTGATTGATTGATGCTTTTTCTTAGACCCCATAAGAGAGTGATTTTGATTGACTACAAAGTGACCCACATCAGCACTAGTCCAGGGCTGAGGGAGGCGTTTCAAGAGAGGTCAAGTTCTCCTTTTCAAATGGGAAAAAATGCAGTGTATCTGAGAAGTAGCAGTAATTCAAGCCCACCATGGTTCATTTAGATCAATACTAGCCAGAAAAGAAGAGGCCATTTTCACAGATGTAAACGGAGATTCTCAGTCATCCAGGTCATGGCTGTCCCAAAGGTGCTTTTTCTGGCATTTCACTTCTCATCCAAGAAGCTACTTCAGCTCTGACTGGATGGTGGGGAATAGAATGATTTATACTGCTTGCAGACAGCTGGTCATTGGCATTCTTTTTAGCAAGCCATCAGTCATCCAGGTCATGGTTGTGACTGAGAATCTCTACAGACTTTTAGCTATACAATTTGGGATGAACACACTTTGACTGGTGTGGGAGTAGGAATGGATTTCCAGAGGAAAAATTCCAGACTACAGGAACCAGGACCACTACTCAGGTGACCCTGAGGACACAGAGGCAAGGAGTTTAAATCCTTCCATTCCCCACCATTTTGTCAGAGTTGAAGGAGCTTCTTGAATAAGAAGTGAAATGTTTTCAAAAGAAAAAAAAAAGAAAGTCCAGTTACCTCCTGAAAATACACCTTTGGGACATAGTGTCAGAGCTGACCCATCCTTTGCTCGCTTCCATGCTTTGCTTGGATGCCAGCCTGCCATATGTTATGGGGGAGGGGAACCCAGAGGGAAATTAGACCTGAAAGCAAGAAACCAAAATCAATACTTCCCAAGGACCATCCCTAAGGACCATCCCCCTCATGGCCGTGGTCCTGGGAATGGAATGCAGCACTTATCCATCTACCAAACACAACAGGGACTGTTACCAAAACATCCTCTCTAAATGTGACTGGACAATGGGGAGGTAATGAGAGGGGTGGCTTGGGGAAGGGGAAGTTAACCAAGGGATTTTCATGCTCAAACTTTTAGTTCTCGCTTCGCAGTAGTGTAACCTTTTAGTAAAGGAGTGGCGAGTGGTCCTTTCCTAAGGGACCAAGGTTGTCTCAGGTCTAACCGTAAGCCAGAACTAAAAGTTTGAATATGTCACACTTGACCCAACCTTGGTTGAAGTCTGACAACTATTGGGCCTCAAATTGTTATTAAAATTTCGGCTTCCCTCCCTGTTTGCTCTGACTCAAATGTGGTCTACCAACTGCCTTCTTCCTATGTATATTTTGATGTTTCAAGTTGACTGATTCAATTCACGTGCCTTGGCTCAGAATTGCATGAAAAAAACATTGAGCAAATGCTTTAATAGAGCTTAACAGAGGAACTTCGGCAACTGATTGAAGGCAAACTCTGAAGTTCTTAGACAGAAATTTTTGATAGTTATCATTGTGCCAAAATGAGGATGAGATACACGGAGTTGAACAATTTCACCACCAACTAAAATTCAGTTATATCCCCCACCTCCTCTTATTCTCTCGCTATGCTTAGTTTGATGCTTCCGGTTGACTGATTGAGCTAATATCTCTTGGTGTGCCTCCAAATACTATGGGGCTCAAGAGAGATGTGTATCTTTCTTTACTTATACAAGGCAAACATTGCACACTGTGCAAAATTACTGTACTGTCCATATTGTCCCTATTAACATGCCTCCAGGCATAAGCCATGAACAGGGATGTGGCATTCATTCATTTGCTTTCTCATTAAAAAAAATGTTCACAGTTGCAATACAACTAATGTTCGTAGTCCAGACTGTATTCTGCTGGATACTTTTTATTTTTTACTTTTTAATGTTAAATTTATCATATACACTCTGTCCTTCAAGCAGGAGATCACTGATTCTGGATCCATAAACTCACTCTTATTTTCATTCAAACCCCGTCACTGAAACACTGCATGAGGCAACAGAACTGAAAATCAGTAGATCACAAGAAAGAAGACTTGTCTGACAGGAAGTAGAATGGCATGTTGTGTTACACATAAATGTTGTAAATCCCAAGGAAGTAGATGAACTGGCATAATACATTTGGAGATGTGCATGAAGATATCTTAAGATGTGAACTGCTGTAGAAACACAGAAAAATTAGTTTATTTACCTATTTATTTATTTATGAAAACATTTAAATGACCCCATAACCAAAACTCTTTACAATTAAAAAAAAAGCAATTACAAAATACAATTTGAGTAAAATAAGAAAGAATTATATGCAAAGAGGTAGGAGATGACCGGGCTGAGGAAAGGGTCAGACAATTCATCAGTCTTGATCTCTTTACGCCCACAAGAGATCTAAGTTCAGTCCACTTTTGAATGATTCTTTTATCTCCTGCTCATTTCCCTAGATCCATGATGGCGAACCTATGGTATGTGTGCTGGAAGTGGCATGCAGAGCCATGTCTCTGGGGACACCATCCGCCTCCTGTTCATCTTCTGGGTTCCGGCACATGCATGCGTGACAGCCAGCTGGCCTTTGCATTTGTCAGAGCACCAGAAATTGGAAGAATCGCTCCTTGGCATGCATGCAGGTGCCGGCTAGCTGGTCGTTGCGCATGCATGCATGTTAGAAACTGGAATATCAGATGGATGATGCATATCTGCATGCCAGGAAGCTGAATTTCTGGTTTTTAATGCTCTCATGCAATAGGTGGGGAACTGCTCTTCCATATTTTGGTGCACGCATGGACACTCCCATTTCGGCACTCAATGCGAAAAGATTAGCCACCATTGCCCTAGACCATTAGTAAGTCAGATTCTTGTAGAGTCCTTTAGCTTGCAATAATTCTTTGTACTCATTTGAACTGCCTGAATTTTCTGATGTCCCCAGTACTTGACAAAAATAAATGCAACATTTAATCTAGGTAGCTGCCGGGAAGTTCATTTGACAACATTTCTTCCACATAATTTGTAGCCAAGGTATGTCAGCTAACTGAATCAACTTGAGACATCAAAATATACATTGGAAGGAGGCAGTAGAATAAATTTTCTTATTTAAGAAATTGTGACTCTGGGCAACTTATAAATATTCTGTTTCAGTCACAACATAATCATAGATCTTGCGACTTGGGTTCTGTGTTTCCTTTGATATGTTCCTATTCCATTTGCAATGTGAATGTGCCCGTGGAAAGATCTACTCCATGATTACATTTTCTACCACCTGGAATCCAAAGGTATACCTTCCTTGCCTACAAGCCCAGCCTGTCCTACAGATTTCTGTACAAGATTCTCATCCACAATCCTTTGCTGCTAACCAATCAGTGTTTGGGACATGATATCATGGCCAGAAAATGTGCATATTGAATAGGATCTAATATGAAGAAACCTGTAGAAGCCCCAAAAGTCAACTTTGGAGGGTATCAGAAGGTTTTTTTAGAGACACTGAAGCACTTCAAATTCAAGGGAAGACTCTTCCTTTTCTAAAATCCAGTAAGTTCCACAAAAATCCCTAGAAGGAACTGTAGCTGCTGGATTCTCCTACCCTGGTGCCCAAATAGAGCAATGAGATTCCTCCATTGGCATACCCAGAAGACTTGACAATGCTATACAGGGGTGGGCTGATAACGGTAGCTAATTTTATGGCCAGTTTGGTGAAATGGCAAATCCTACCCCTGGCTGGCCCTGCCCTGATCATCCCTCCCAGGACTCTCCACATGGCCCATTTTGGATGCCTGGTAAGGGCAGGGCCCACACGGTGGTTCTGGGAGGGTGAAAAATGGACCTGGATGCTCCAGAAGGCCAGAAACGGGCCTGTTTCTGGCCTCCAAAGGGCCTCCGGAGCTTGGAGGAGGCCATTTTTGCCCTCCCAGAGGCTCAAGGAAAGCCTCTGGATCCCGGGTGGGTGAAAATGTCCCCCACTGTGGTGCAGGAGGCTGATGAGGCCACACCCACCATGGCCACCCACACCCAACAACCAGGCAGAAAACTGGTTGCTAACATTTTTGGAGTGCACCCCTGATGCTATAGTAATATACCAGAGGAAACTGTGATCCCAAATTGGAAGGTTTATGAACTCTAGATCTCAAGCAATTATTCTTTGATTTAGCTGAATCTTGGGGTACCTTTAAGTACAATGAAATATGAAAAAGAGATGTCAATTGTTCATTCCTTGGGCAGTTACAATATTCCACTCTCCCCATCTGAAGAATAAACATTCTTGACAGACATCTGAAGATCTCTCCCCAGGTTAAATGCAAAGTTCATAAAATAAAATAAAAATCCCTCCCTGTTTGCTCTGACCCAAAGACGATGAACCCAAAGCCTTTTTCCTAAGTATATTTTGATGTCTCAAGGTGACTGATTCAATTAACATGTCTTGATGGAAGAACTTAGAGCAAATGTTTTAATTCTCAGACTTTCTCTACTACAAAGTTTAATAGATCCTAAAAGAAGAACTTCAACTATTGATGCAAGGCAAAGTTTGCACACCTTAGACAGCAATCTTTGAAAGTTATAGTTGTGCTCAAAATGAGGATGAGACGCAAAGAATTGTACGATCTCTGTACCAACTAAAATTTCATTATATCCCCCACCTCACTGTTTTTCCCGTTGCCTTCTCCCTGTGCATATTTTGATGCTTTGGGTTGACTGATTGAGCTAATAACCCTTGGCTAAAAAGACTTGGTGTACTTCCAAATACAATCAAGCTTAAGAGAGATGTGCACCTGTCTTTGCTTATGCAAGGCAAACATTGCACACCGTACAAAATTGTTGTACAATTTGTATTGTCTCTATTAGCATGCCTCCAGGAATAAGCCATGAACAGGGACGTGGCATTCTGTCATTTGGTTCCTTCTTAAAAATGTTCACAGTTGCAACACAACCCTGTTTGTATTCCAGCTAATGAAGAATTAGTCCATTAGTGGGAGAAAGTGGCAAGAAGGTGACAAGCAACAGGGGGGAAAACAGAACCACTAAACTTATTATTATTATTTTTGCATTTCTGTTTACACAAAGGGAAAAAAGTCCAACCTATAAAAAAAAGAAAGAAAGAAAGATTAGGAACACAAGTTAAAATAGGCAAGAATATGGTAAGTGAGCACCTGTACACCTTAGACAAGTTCAAAACCGGAGGTGGTATCAAGCAATTTCTGACCAGTTCTGGACAACCGGTAGCAGAAATTTTGAGTAGTTCAGAGAACTGTCAAATACCACCTCTGAGCTGCATAGAACCGAAAATCAGTATATGACAAGAAAAAGGTTTTGTGTGAAGGAAAGCAAAACGAGATGTTATGTTATAGATAAATGCTGCAAATCCCAAGGGAGCAGATAATGCAGGCCTGGAAGATTCTCCTTCTTCCCTGGTTCTCTGGGTTTTCTCACGGCATTAAGAAGTTGTTTTTCCCCTGATGAAAGAATTTCTGAGACCCCCACTTCATTCTCCCACCTCCCCTTTGGTGTCTGACAAAAGGCAATGACCTGATCACATTTCTAATGGTCAGTGTAGGTATCTCCAATGGGAAATTTGAGATTGCCTTGGAAATCAGTTTGACTACACCTTTTGAATGTTCCTGACCGACAACAACAAAATGTGTTTGTGACATAAAACTTACTTCACATAGCTTATGCTCATATTGACCCACTGTTTCCCTAGTGAATTTTGGAGGTGCACTGCTTGGGATTAGAAAAAAATAGTTCTCTCCGGCTTATCCATATTTCCAATATTCTTGATTCTGTAGATGAAGTTCTTGATATTTCAGGCCAAATTACAGTTGAATCTCATCTAAAAAGTTTGTAGAAGCACAGGAGGAAATTCAGAAGCATAGATTTGTTGGGTGGTGACTGAATACAGGCCTGAGAAACTTCTTTACTTTTCTTCTGAGTAAAGATACTTGATTCCACCTACCCTGGAACAGAACCTAGATCTTCTTTTGCATCTATTTTCCATCCTGGTCTGGAAAACAATCTAACAATTCTAACAATCAGTTTATATTTTTTTTTTTGATGAGGATGTCTCAGCCTACTCTTGACCTGTTGTTGAAAATTAATCAGAACCAAGGGATTGAGCCACTGTAGGGCACAATAAAAGCCAGGTTTAATCTACGAAGATCTTCTTTATGAACACCTACCAAGGAGAAAGGGATTTTATGGGTGACAAGGCTATTCTGTCCCAGACTCTCACAGATTTGAGGAATTTCTGGTTTTAAAGTCATCAGTAAGAAGATCTTTTCTTTGCAGGAATTTTTGACTCAAAGCATCCCTTGGAACTATCTTTCCTGCTGTTCCTGCTGGTAGTTTTGTACCAGAAACCCTACTGCCATGTTTGAACAACCTTCTATCCATCTCCCTTGTCTATGCTGACTTTTGTATCTTGAGAATCTTTTAGTCCAGAGGCTAATATTAGAGAGAACCACTCATGCTCTGATCTGTGTAAAGGAGGCCATGTTTCTTGAAGGAAGGCAGATCCACAATTGCAACCTGGAAGATTCAGAGAAGCCCATTTAGTGAATTGAAGTAAAAATAAAAAATAGGAAGGCACTGAACTTTGCAGAGAGATATTTTGTTTAATTTTGTGTTATGTAAGGATTGTATAATCTTCTATTAAATACAAGAAAAGATGCCAATTGTCAAGGTGCCCCAATTTTGCACATGGAATGGTGGCATTTGCCTTGAAGACAGGGAACAGTTGGTTCTTCAGCTGATCTGATCTGGCTTCTATTTTGGTGCCGGGGGGGAAAGGCCCACCGCTGGCCTTCCCTTTCCCACTGAATCTCCCTGTTCTTCTCTCTAGATATCCTAGATATCCAGGCCCACCCATCCACCCCAATCTCAGAGGGCTTTAAATAATTATCTGCTTCCATCATGGGCTACACTTTGCAGGCTCCAGAGAAGATTGCGAGATGAAAGCTGTGCTGCTGACCTTGGTGGTGGTGGCATTCATGTACCTGGACTTAGATAAGGCTTCCAACCTTTGATCTTGGGTGGCAATCAAACCCAAAACCAAGGGGCAGAGGGAGGGAGGGTATTCGAGGCAGTTGTAGTCCCTTTTTTGGGTGGGACTTTCTCACTGTTCTGCTCTGCATAAAGATAGTCCATGCCACGCCTGGAGGTTCGCTAATGAGGAAGAGGAGGAACAGCTGGGTCCAGTGCCTGATGCACTGATATGCAGAAGTCAGAGGAGAGGAGAGGAGAGCAGTGGAAATCTATGGGCAAATCCTTGGGAAGGAAGAGCCACCACTGCTAGCAAAGCCTCACCCTAGCTCTGTGGATAAAAAGCAGGAGGCAGAGATGAATAGATGTGGCAGACAACTATCTCCCTGCTGGACAGACTTGTTAGTCTCCGTTGAGAGATAAATGTTTTGCCAGGGCTGCTGGCACTCCTAATTAAAGGAATCTTTGAGTTCACTTCAGAAGGTTTGTCATGTTTCGGGAGCTGGGTCAGAATAGTTGTTATCAAAGTTATCTGTGTGTGCACACATGTACGCATCCATGTGTGCATTTGTATGTGCTTTCAAGTCACTGGGGACTCCTGGCAACAACTCTCTGATTTTTTAGAAATAACTTGCCATTGCCTCCTTCCTAGCGCTGAGTAAGAAGGACTAGCCCAAGGTCAGCTAGTTGGCTTTGTACCTAAGGTGGGACTAGAACTCACAGTCTCCCAGATTGCAGCCTAATGCCTTAACCAGTATACTCAACTGATTTGGAATACTGCACTACATTTAAAAAAAAACTTGGAATACTGCATCCAATTTTGGTCACCATAACAGAAAAAAAGATGTTGAGACTCTGGAAAGAATGAAGAGAAGAGTGACAAAGATAATTGGGGGGGTGGAGGCTAAAGCATATGAAGAACAGTTTCAGGAATTGGGTATGTCTAGTCTAATAAAAAGAAGAGCTAGAGGTGATATGATAGCAACGTTCTAATACTTAAGGGGCTGCTACCACAAAAAAGGGGGTTCAACCTGTCTTCCAAAGCACCTGAAGGCAAGACAAGAAGCAATGGATGGAAACAGAACAAAGAGAGAAGCAACCTAGAACCAAGGAGAAATTTTCCTGACAATGAGAACAATCAACCTGTGGAACAACTTGCCTTTAGAAGTTGTGGGTTCTCTAACACCGTAGCTTTTTAAGAAGAGTCTGGACAGCCATTTGTCTCAAACGGTATCAAGTCTCCTGCTTGAGCCATGCAGTGGACTAGAATACCTCCAAAGTTCCTTCCAACTCTGTTATTTCTGACTTTCAATGTTCTAACTGTTTGTAAATCCACCTTTTTGTCAAGTGTGAAAGACAAGGAAAGAAAGGGTTTCAAAGAATTTCCACATGACTTAGCCTCACTATAGGAAAGGTTGGGAAATGGCTCTTATAATTTTCAAGGTTTTTATCTACCCAAGTTAACAAGAAAGATACCTTCCCAAACTTCCAATGTCCTTGCTTCAATAATCTGTGGGGCTTACTGCAGCCTCAACACCATTTACAGACATGCCACCTACATTGGTCCAGATGCTACATTACAAGCTTCTTCTTCTTCTTCTTCTTCTTCTTCTTCTTCTTCTTCTTCTTCTTCTTCTTCTTCTTCTTCTTCTTCTTCTTCTTCTTCTTCTTCTTCTTCTTCTTCTTCTCCTCCTCCTCCTCCTCCTCCTCCTCCTCCTCCTCTTTCTCTTTCTCTTTCTCTTTCTCTTTCTCTTTCTCTTTCTCTTCCTCTAGTTTGAAATGCAACTTCAGGGTCACTTTCAATCCTGCTGATGTCGACAAAGCACCTACAAAAAAGTTAAACAATTGAAGTGGAGCACCCAAAGCCAAGACAATCAGATGTTGGCAAAGAGTGACATGAAGGACGGGGCTGTCTCCTATATATCCCCCTCATCTTTCAGATCTGGGATAAGGAAGACAACAAAAGAGGAGATGAGCAAGGAGAGCCCTCTGCTCAGCTCTTCTCTTCTCCCAGTATCTTGCCAACCAGGGCTAAACGGCAAATTGAGCTATTACAGCACTTCTTTTTCAAACCTTGCTTAATGGCATCTCCCACAATTACATTTCTTGCTGAATGGGAAAGATAAGCTGACACAGCTTCGACCGGGCTCCTCTGAAGTTTTGTTCTGCTTTTCTATTGGCAAGGCCCAACTGTTTGTCTTAGCCACTTGTAAGAAGAGATGATACGATATGCAAATAGACATGGCAATATTGAACCTGGAAAGCCACTGAGATTTTTGAATCACATTAAGAAACCCATCACATTTAAGAAATAGATTATTTACACAGCATGGCTTCCCTTCTCCTGCTGAAATTTTATTTTAATATATGTCTATGTACGCCTGTGCATATATAGCCTGTGTGTGTGTGTGTGTGTGTGTGTGTGTAATGTCATTAATGATTGACTTTCCCTCCACTTGAAGTAAGTGTGTGTCAGCTTTTAAACTTTGCTTGGAGAAATTGCTAATGGTAATAATAAAAAAAAAACACCTCCCTTCCCCCAGAAAGTCATATGCACTGTGAAATTGTTGTTTTAAATAAGATTGGCTAGAGTTTATGAAGGAGGCGCCTTGTGGTTAGGAAATGTCAAGGGCTTTAAAGCATATTATTTTCTTGAAAGCTATTTTCTAAAATAAAGAAAGAAGCCTCTCTTTGGTGAATAATGTTAAGACCCAGCAAATGAATTTCCAAATCAGGCATTGAGAAGAAAGAAAATAAATTCGGTGAAATAATAGTTATTTGAAGGAGGCAGCTCTATGCCATTGTAAGTGGTATGGGTCTCGGAATTATTCCATATGTATTTATTTCATATGATTTATTTAAGAAGTCTCACCTGGCTTTTTCATTTAAATGACATCAATGCAGAGTTTGCAGAATAAATTTAGACTCTTTTAATAGTTTTAAAATAGAGAAGCCGATAAACAAATAAACAAACAAACTGTCAATAAGATCTATGCATAGAAATTCACAATGTAGTTATGCTAAAATGCAATAAAAATCATATGATGGGCTCACAAGTCCTAGATCTACATAAATCTAGTTTATTGGTGTTTATGACTTAAAGTTTCTCCCCCCAAAAAAAGTTTTTTTAAGGTAAAACTGTTAAAGAAAGTATTCTGCCTATTTTATATCTTCTTATACAATCAATAGTTCACTGGAGAACTCTTTCAGAGAAGAGAATTTAAGAGCAACTCCTATAGGGATGTGGTATGTTCTCATCGTTATATTATTATGGGGTAGCCAAGAGGTATGCAACAGTGTCTTTTACATTGCACAATCATACCTACCTCCCCTCCATTTTGCAGCCTACTGGGATTTCCACATTCCCACTAAGACTCAATCACTAAGATCCAAGGTAGATACTGAGAGGAGTTTGGTTTAATGGTTAAGGAGCTGGGCTAAAATGTAGGAGACTTAGTTCTAGTCTCACTTTAGATATGAAAGTCAACTGGGTGACTTTGACCAATCACCAAGCCAAATTGAATCCTAAATACTACCTTAGAAAACAAAGCCTATTGTGTTGCTTTAAGCCAATCATCAAGGGATGATGAGTTCTAGTCCCATTTTAGGCATAAAAGCCTGTTAGGTGAAACATTTGGGCCAATCACCAGGAGACTATAAGTTCCAGTTTCAACTTAGGTATGGAGGCTGGCTAGTTGACTTTGGACCAGTAATTTTCTTTCAGCCCAACCACTTTCACTGGATTACATTATGAGTTAAATGGGAGGAGGAAGCAATATTAGGTACGTTAACTGCTTTGAGTTCTTTAATAAGTAAGTTAGAAAATAAGTAATGAACTCTTGACAGGAATTCTTTGTGCCAGAGTTGAGGGAATCAACATCATCACTAAAGGGCACACCTTCCTTTGGACTGAGGGAAGATAATTTGTCCTTCTCCTGAAATTAATGAATTGGATGTTGAATTTAAACAAAGCTCTTTGTACACACCTACAGTTGTAAGGATGTCTTTTGGGCATGGATGTAACAGTAAAATAACAGTAACAGAGTTGAAATGGATCTTGGGGGTTATCTAGTCCAGGAGTCTCCAACCTTGTCAACTTTAAGAGTTATGGATTTCAACTCCCAGAGTGCCTCGGCCAGTAAAGATGGGTGAGGAAATCTGGGAGTTGAAGTCCACAACTCTTAAAGTTGACAAGGTTGAAGACCCCTGATCTAGTCCGATCCCCTGCTCTCATAGAAGACCTATATCACTTCTAATAAATGGCTGTCCAATCTTTTCTTAAAAGCCTGCAGTGATGGAGCACCCACAACTTCTGAAGGCAATTTTCCCACTTAATTTAATTAAGTGGGTTAATTTAGTTAATTGGGTTAATTGTTCTTGCGGTTAGGAATTTTCTCCTTAGTTCTAAGTTGCTTCTCTCCTTGGTTAGCTTCCATCCATTGCTTCTTGTCCTCCCTACAGGTGCTTTGAAGACTAAAACATAGGAAGAATGGTTGCAGAAACTGGGAAAGCTATTCTAGAGAAAAGAAGGAGTAGGAGGGACATGATTCAGTAGCGGTATTTCAATATTTGAGAGATTACCATAAAGAGGAGGGGGTCAATTTATTTTCTAAAGCACCAGAGGGCAGGATGAGAAACAAAGGATGGAAATTAATCAAGGAGAGAGGCAACCTGGGATTAATTGCTAATAGTGAGCAGTGGAACAGCTTGCCTTCAGAAGTTGTGGGTGCTCCATCGCTGGAGGCTTTTATCAAGACACTGGACAGCCGTTGGCCTGACATGGTATAAGGTTTCCTGTTTGAGCAAGGGGTTGGACTAGAAGATCTCCAAGGTACCTTCCAGTTCTATTTTGATTGATAAGTTCTCAAGTGCAGACTGAACGTTCTCTGTATTAGAGGTCTCATCTAAGAGTGGTCTAGTGTTGAATTGGGTCTCCAAAAGAAGTTGCCATATTTTGTTTTTATTTGGAACATGAACATTGCCTCTGAAATGTGGATATTGGGAAAAATAACACTCCTTTTGTATCCTTTTGCCTGCTGGATTTGCAACCCTGTAAATTTCTATTTACCTGATCACAGCCTGAAGAAATTTGGGACACTCAACACCTAGGTTTTGCATGGATTCTGTGAAAGATTTACAAGACGTTGCTTTTTTCCCCAGAAGATACCTGTACTGTATGGGAAAGGACACAAAAGGATAAAACATTTGAAAAAAAAAATGTTGTACCATGATGCAATTTGATTATTTCCAAATATAGGATCAATCCACTCAAGACTGTCCACAGAGCAGGACAAGAGAGAGATCCAATTTAGAAGTAAGGAAAAAATTTCTGACAGTGAGAACAGTTAATCAATGGAATAGCTTGTTTCCTAATGTTGTAAGCGCTTCATCACTGGAGGTTTTCAAAAATAGGCTGAACAACCAGTTGACCAGGATGTCAGTTCTCCTGCCTTGAGAAAAGGGATGGACTAGAAGATCTCCAAGGTCCCTTCCAACCCTAGGTGTTCGATATTTACATATATTCCCTAATTGTTTGGCCTGTGGTGGTGGGAAATTGAAGAGCTGTTACTGGTTGCAGCCGCAGCAGCCTGGGGGTAGTAAAGGAGCTGCCGGGCTGCTGTTCTTCATTCTGAATGATGTAATAAAGAAACTTAACTAGTCGGAGCCTCCCACGTCTTCTTTCGTTCACGATTTAACACTAGCAATGAAGGTGGGATCCTGAGAGAAGAGAGAGTGAGACAACGTAGCTAGCTAACCGGACAAAGAACTCAACATGGCCGGGAACAATACACCACCCGTGCCGTTCGACCCAATGACCAAGTACTGGGTGTCCTACATCAATCATTTCCAGATGTTCCTAGACAGCAGCAACCTGGTAAATATTACGGAACAGAGGAAAAAAGCAGGTTTCCTCCATGCATTGCGGTCCCACCATGTTCAAGATGGCTAAAGCCCTCGCAGCCCCAAGCGATGTAAAGACGATGGCATGGCCAGATCTCGAATGAATTCTGAGGGCACATTACATTCCCCCTGTATCCAGCCTGGTCAAGAGACAGGAGTTCTACTGGAGAGACCAGAAGGAAAGAGAGAACATAAACAATTTTGTCGCTAATCTGAGGAACATTGCTGGGGCATGTGAATTCCTGAATGTGGATGGGGCAATGAAGGAGCGTGTAGTCCTGGGACTTAGAGACCTGACCTTACAGAGCCGGCTCCTAACAAAACCAAAAATAACACTAAAATAGGCCATCGAGGAAGCAGCCACAGTAAAAAGTCCTCCGCAGCTATGAGAAAAATGAATAAGAATCCACACACACATCCCAAAAGACACTGCCACCATTCACCATGAGGATCTCGAATCCAGGTTGGGGTCAGCAGATGATGAAGAAGTGAATCAACTCCACCCTGAGCAGCACCAGAAAAGCAGAGAAAGGAAACGGAAGGAATTTTGATGTAGGGGTTGTGAAGGAAATGACCTTAGATTGGAATGCCAGTTCCGAGATGCTATTTGCAAACTCTGTGAGCGGGGGGGGTGGGGGGGACACATCACAAGAGCATGCCAAGCATTCAAGCCAAACAACTGAAGACCAAGACAAAGCACACCCCCCAGAACTAGGGAAAGTCAAACTGAAAACCGTGGGGGTGAAAATAGCAGGAATCGATGGAACCACGAGCCGAGCACAAAGAGAAGTGAAACACACCAGACGGTAACCGTGGGCCACCCCAGCATACCAAATGCTAAGAAAGTACATGTTCACGTGACAGTAGAAGGTGAACCATGTAAAATGGAAGTGGATTCTGGATCTCTTCTATCAATGGTATTGTGGGATACAATCAAAAGAATAATTCCCCAACTGACAAAAATACAACTAAAAAAACAAAAAAATAATAATCCTAAAAGACTATCAAGGGAACAAGATTCCAGTCATTGGTATTGGAGAATTCAGAGTATCCTTCTGAAATTACTCTGGAATTCTGCCTTTAACCATGGTCAACCAGGACCAGACAAGTCTGCTTGGGGATCGAGTGGTTCAAGCCATTGGGAATTTTATTCATGGCCATACACAGCATCACGGACAGCAAGTGGGAGGACCAACTGATAGAGGAATTCTGGGATGTCTTTGATAGAAAATTAGGCAAGTACTTGGGGTCCCCTATTTCTTTTAATCTAGACCCAAATATTGACCCGATCAGACTAAAAGTAAGGCAAGTTCAACCCTTCACACTTAAACCAAAAATAGATGAGCAGTTAGACAAGGTCATTTCCCAAGGGATTCTAGAACCCATAGATCATGTGAAGTGGGAAACCCCAATAGTTACCCCTATAAAGCCAGATGGATCTCTGTGCATCTGTGAGGACTACCATACAACTCTGAACTGGGCTTTACAGCAGAGCGTGTACCCCGTTCCAGTGGTGCAACACCTTGAGGTGGGGAAAAATATTCGCAAAGTTAGATCTTGCACAAACCTACCAGCAAATACCAGTAGACACTACAACAGCAGAGGAACAGACAATTGTAACACATAGAGGGGCTTTTAAATGTAACTGTTTGCAATTTGGGGAGAGCGTTGCCCCGGGACTATTCCAGAGCCTCATGGAACACTTACTGCACGGATTAAAGGGGGTGGTGCCTTATTTTGATGATGTCTTCATCTCAGCTGAGAACAAAGAGCAATTCCAGAATAGTTTAAGGGAAGTTCTCAACCGTTTCAAGGAGGTGGGGCTTAAAGTAAAAAAAAACAAAGAAAAATGCCAGCGAGCAGCCGACAGTTACTGCATCCAATATTGCGAGGGAAAGTGCGAAAGACTAGAACAAGGCTCTTCAAACTTGGCAAGTTTAAGACTTGTGGACTTCAACTCCCAGAATTCCTGAGCTAACATGACTGGAAGAGGAATTCTGGGAGTTGACATCCACAAGTTTTAAAGCTATCTGGTTTGAAGACCCCTGGACTAGAAGACCTCTAAGGTCCCTTCCAATTCTATTCTGTTTGTTTGATTAAAGGAGACCTTGTACCATTCCAGATAAATGACTGTCTTAAAAGCCTCCAGGGATGGAGCACCCACAACATCTGAAGACAAGCCATTCCACTGGTTAATTGTTCTCATTGACCCTCTCTACTTTTTGGCAGCTTCTCAAATACTGGAATACTGCTATCATGTCACCCCTAGTCCTTCTTTTCTCTAGACTAGCCAAACCCAGTTCCTGCAACTGTTCTTTGTATGTTTTAGCCCATAAATCAAATACATTCTTCTATGGCCTATGCATGTCCTGTGACTTTGACTTTATGTGCTCACAGATTTTAGATTGTGTGTACATTCATTCAGCTATTTGAAGAGGCTAATCATATCCCAATTCTGAGGAGTTTGGTGGCCTAGAGGTGAAGCTCTTGCCTCAGAATCAGGAGACCATGGGTTCAATCCTAGGTAGGAGCAGATATTTCTCTCTCTGGATGCAAAAATAAAATGTCTGCTGTGAACTCCACAGAGGCATCAGGAAGGGCATCCAGCCAGTAAACACCCAGTTCCGTTCAATTGTTCCAACTGTGGTTGTGCATAACTTCAAGTCATGGTAAATCTCCAAGAAATTCATTTCCTCCAAATGAAATTACAGTTCATAGAATTGATTCTGCATTTCTCACCATGGGGCAGAAAATGCATTCAAACAACACTTTTGACTTTTGAATTTGGAATGCTCAGGTCCTTATTCAATATTGAGAAAAGCTAACCTTGATCCTAGGTGAAGAACTGAATGTGTCAAAAAATAGGGAAGAAATGTGGTATATCAGATATTTGCCATAAGTGTTAGAACCTCACTTCAGGCCCATTTTGTAAGTATTTTGCTCATAAACCCTTATCAGGAAAGACTCTGCCTTTGAAATGCCCCGCCAGACTGCAGAATGCCCATAGAGGGTTAATTTATCATAACATTAAAAAATGACAACATATCGTAAGATTTGATCACTGTAGTTCAGGTAATGTTTTCTGCTCAGTTCTTCTTTTATTTCGAGTTGCTAAAAGTTGACCCGATTTTAATCTTTGCCTCTGGCTGTTGCTGGTGGTACAGGCAAAAGTAGGTCAGTGATAAGTATGTTTATTCTGTCTGACATTTTTACTGATACCGAGCACTTAAATAAAATCCACCCACGCCGATTTCTCAGACCCTGCCATCTTCTTCACCAAACTCTTACTTCTCCAGGTGAGGCCCTTCTTAAATATCATTTCATTGTTTCCCATTCTAAATGTCTTATCGCGGAGCTGCAGAGTGGCATGCAATAAAACTGAAACACTTTTCAAACCTCTGAAGAAGGACAGTAGGAACACAACAGGTCATATAATTAGGACTGAAAGCTGAAGGGAAATTTCCTGTCTGATTATTATGACTGCCACCGAGTGTTACTTGAAAGAGCTTTCAGTTCTATCCTTTAAAGACGAGATTAGGTGTACTTATTACTGGAAAGATGAAATTATCATCATCCGGGGAGAAAAAAAGATTAGGGTTGAAAAATAGTCATAATTATATGCATATGCACAGAAATAGGTTCTTGTTGAAAATGGCATTTTTCAATCTGGGCGCTAGATGCTGTTTGGGCTGTAAGAAATTATATTTTTGAAATTTTGTTAGTACATATTATTCTATTATAGGCTAAGAGTTGTGAAGAGTCTCTGCATGATTGTGGTAAAATGTAAATTTGTGAGAGAGAAAGAGAGAGGGAGAGATGATAGCTGGATAGATAGATAGATAGATAGATAGATAGATAGATAGATAGATAGATAGATAGATAGAT